TTAATATGTGGTTGTGGTTGATAGTATGTATGCCAGAAGCTGTCAAACAGTGCTTGGTCAGTTGGTCGATATGCAGTTCAGTCATGAAAGTGAGATTGTATATGCTGTTTTATAAGTTTGGGATCTGTAATAAGTTGGTCAGGGAGTTTGATGTTGGAAAAGTGTATGAGGGCTTTGTATCGGTTAAGAATACTGTTAATAGCTTGTTTAGGATGTGTAGAAAGTGTTTCACATCTTTTTCAATTGCTTGTTAGATTTGTTGACGAAGTAATAATGAGTTTTCTGTATAACGAGCATGATAAAATTGGTTTCAGATATCTTGTGCAAACAGGGACAGTGTGCAGTACAGATTTTCTGAGGCATGTGATGTAGATCACTGCATATCACGTAATTGTCACTGCAGATCATAATTTTGTCACTCATACATATATATATATATTGTACAACTTTTATCACTATCGTTACAAACTTCTGCTTCATTTAGATTTAAATATATATGCACATATGTATTGCGAAAAGTTGTAGAATAAACTTTTTATAAAAACAAAAATTAGGTTATGTTGCATTAAGTTTTCAAATTACCAAAATCCATTTAAAAGTACATTTTAATTATTAATAAATTTATTAAATTAAGAATAAATTTAAATGCAATTACTTTTAGCATTATTGAACTTATCAAACATGAACTACATTTATCATGCAAACTCTTATGATCATAGAATTTTTTCTTCTTGTTATTTTTTGTACGTTATTACATAAGCACAACAATCCCAAATTAAAACTCAGTTAGCCAACCATGACTCGTAAATCATGATCATAATTGCACAATAACATTGCATGACCAATATCTTATATATAGTGTTTAATGTAGATAAGTATTGCGACAGTTATCCTAATGCCAAATGAAAACTTGGAATTCTTATTAAATTACATTTTCAGGTTTTTACTTGGCATCACTCAATTATTTTTCTATACTTTTAAATTTCAGGCTTCCATTTTTTATATTACAATTTTTTGTTTGTAATATGTTTGAATTCTATTAAACCAGAATTACATTATTTTCTCAAGTTTAGGGCCTTTACCAGTTATGATTGATGAATACTTAGTGATGAAAATTTGCAACTTTTCTTTTTCAAATGCTTAACTTATTTGGATGACTTTCTTATTAGGGTAACTATAGATGTATACATACTATATATATATTTATAAAAATATATAATGTAAATTTTAACTAATCTAAATTTTATAAATTTAGTATCACCCAATTCTTAAAATGTAGTAATTACAAAAGTTACAAGTTGACACTGAACAGAAAAATGGTAAATTTATTTTATATAATTAATGTTTTAAACTTAATTATTACAAATAACTAATTATTGCAAAAACATAGTCCATGGCTTTGCATTTCATGTATTACTATGCCTTGAATTGTGTTGCGATGATTTTATGTTATTTATCATAATGAACACTCGGTCTATATTATTAATGGCATTTCTTACATGTCTTAAATTATTAATAGACAATTCTTCTCTAAGGTGTTTTGTTAGATATTCTAACTCGACTACCTTAGCTTCACATTGTTAATAGAGATCCAGATCAACTCTTTCATCATCATTGTCAGCAGAAAAAATAGTACTAGATTGCTGTTGTGAGTCTAAGTTAGGTATGTGAATGGTATCCTTTGGTTCATTGCCATTTCAGATAAGAAATAGATAATCTGTTCGTCGTTTGAAATTTTGATAAATAAGTCAGATTCCTTCTGGGTTATGCAACCTTTCCTTCTCAATTGCCTGGTGGATGAGATGCTTACAAATAAGGAATTGGCTATGTAAAAATGAAAGACAGCTACATATCTAACAATTTAAATCAATTGCATAATAGTTTTCTATATTATCAGCAATTGGCTGTTCAGCAAGTTGATTCCAGGTTTTCTTAAATTCTTCGAACCACTTTGGTGTTATTCGACCATGATATATTTGCTAATAACGAGTGGTTTGATCAGGTAAAACTCGAGAACAAATAATCCATACCAAATAATCTAATCTTGGCCTGTTAAACCGATATAGATAACAATGTTTGAGCACTTTCCAATGCAATTCTATCATCATATTCATTTTTCCAATTGGTATTGTTGCTCGCATTGAATGTGCCCAGAGATGCCAATGTGATATTTTATACCATGAAGATCACAGGTATGACCATAATATTACAAGATTATGTTCTACACAAAAACTATATAATTCAAGCACTGCATGTTCTCGAATCTCTGCAGATGTTAAACATTTACTATTTGCATTAATAGGTATTTTTGGATGCATATTAAAATGCTTTCTAATGAGATTCATAATATCTTTTCGTAGGTCTAATGGGCAGACTTGGTAATAATCAGAGTCAGAACAATTCAATTCTGGTTTAAACTTTGGGTTAATGAAACTAAACTCAGCAGCAGCTTCTTCAGGCTGATATTGGGTGTATTGTATTCTTTTTTTACTTTTTAATTTTTTATTGATTGCTTGATCAATATGCCATTAGCATAATTGTATATCAGATTGTGGCCATACTTCTTTTGCTGTATTTATTTCAGCAAAATCTTTGTCTGTGTAGAAATAGATCAGATTTAGTCCATGACTCCGAATAGAATTAAAAAAATTGGCAAGAACATTTGTCTTTAAATACTCATATGACTATTTTTCTTGAGCATTTGTAGTATTTAATAGCAAATATGCTAAGGGAAAACCTGCACTATCAATATTACCAATGAGACCATACAATTCAAACTGGCCTTTCGCAGTTTTATAAATGGCATCGCAATGGACTTCTGATATGGATAAAAGAGTACTAAATAGGGGTGTCATAAAGTCTATTGCAGTTATTTTATCAGTTATTAATTTGAAGCAGAGTTTGCAACCTGGAGCATGATTTGATCTAAGAAATGTAAGTGCTGAAATAACATGGTCTTCATCTGTTTTGTATGAGTCTTGCACAAACACTGACTACCAATAATAAATCTGCTTTGCTATAATATTTAAAATTTCAAATTTATTACGAAGAATTTACGAATTTGTATTGGATCTAAATAAAGATTGGTACAGATCTCTTGTTTAATTTCTTCTGGTGTTGAGACATCTTCAAGTTTTTCATGAATAATATCATAGCGAAGTTTTAATATAGCTTCCATCGCAGATGCATCAACATGAAGGGTTAATTTATCATAACAATCAAATCGAGCAATTCTTTTTCAATTTGATTGCTTATATTCATACTCTAATTTATAGCATTGAGAACATGCGAAGTAATATATGAAAACATTATTAAATCAAACTAAGGTATATAGTGCTGTTGTAGCTGACCAGACATAATCATCACCCTCTTCAACTTCATCTACTATTATTCTTACAATTGATTTAAGGTCATTAGGCTCAACTTCTGAAAAAATATCATCATTAAGATTGATATGAATTTCAAATGAAATCCTATTATTATTTTCAACATTGGAGATTAAGTTTTCTATATAATTACAAAGGGATTGTGTTGAAATTGTCTCCATAATAGGTTGAGTATTATCAGTATCTAATTTTTTTCATTTTTCAGCTTTATTAATAAGACAATTAGCACAAGTTTTATAAGTTTTTCCTTTATACATGAAAGATTCTGGTGGATAATAACGAGTATAAGAATTGCATTTATTTATTTTTAGTAGAAGTTAAATGGACAATCTTTGAAAAGTAATAGAATTACAAGTAATTAAAAGCAAGAACGTAATATTACTAAAGAATAGGCAATAATCAAACTAAGAGATATTTATATACAAATTTCCCAAGGATTTAATATATTATTACGAAATAGGCACAATAAACTGAAGCTTTCTTATTCAATGCATGTAAGCCAAGTTTTCAAAATTATAATTATGGTTTAACATTAATGTGAACATTAGAAATTAATTGATTATATTTTATTAATAGTTAATAAACTAATAGCTAAATAGCAGATAATTTTCTCAAAGTTATATTTAATAATAATATTTATTCTTTTAGACTTTATAGGCTCCACGTTGAATTTTAGAGTAAATAAATTATGTGAAAGTTTCTATATATTCCATGACAAATTTGTGTGAATTAGAAGAGTCAAATTTACATTTTTGATTTGATGAAATACATTACTTTGAACTATAAAACAAATTATAGACTCTACATTGATTTCAGAAAAATAAATTATGCAAAGATCTTTGTCAATACTACAACAAACTTGTGTGGATTAGATGAATCAAATTCACGTATATAATTTGTTTAAATATATTACTTGGAATCATAAAAATAATATACGTAAAAAATATGTTTACTTATTTCATATTTATTTATTATATTTATTACAGGAGTTACTACACCTTTGTATATCCAATTAATATGGCTACTTACGTATATATCTTTAGATATTCCAGCATTTATTATATTTACTGGAGGAGTCACTGTGCCTTTGCATATCCAATCAAACTACAAAAATTCTTTGGATCGCTATTAAATTCACCAAATTTGTTATATTATTGAAGCCATAGCTCATATTTTTTAAACATGTTTCAACTAACAAAATGATTTATTTTCTATATTATGAAATTAAGCTGAAATTCATTTTACAATTTTACAAGCAGTTCTCATTCATTTGGCTAGAAAGCATTTATTCATCAGTCAAAATTCAAAAACAAGCATAATGATATTCAAACTATGTTACTCAACCAGTTGTATAGAGATTGTACTAGGTAAACATTTTTTATTATATAGAAATAGTAAATTACCTGGATAACTAGGTAATTTAATAATACCTGAATAGAATTTTCTTAACAGGCGCAATCTCTAGTTGAGTGTTTATATTTTACTAATAATTCAAGCTTATATTGTTAGAATAGCATATGTATATGCACTTAATTATATCAAACCAAACTTGAATTATAGATTGAAAGCTGTAAGAAAATTTTAGCCTGAATATTATAAAATTTATTATTTAATAATTTTTATCTGGATTCAATTTTTGAATGAATACTTTTTCATTCATTTAGATGAATAAATCTTATTATAATACTTTCGAATTTTATAAGTTTAATATAAATAAAATAATAAAAATTTGTTTTCTTTATCAAGTCGAGAATGGTTATAATTTGGCTCATTATATTGTAGTTATTTGAATTCTCCATAATACAGTAATATTGTAAGTTAAACCAGCAGATATTTGAATCGCACTAATAATAATTTATTAAAAGTTTTATATACCAATGTTACTGTCAGCAGAAGAGCTAAAAATATGAAATATGCCAGTTTAATCAGGACAGTAAACGATATAAACCAGGGATATGTTATGTACATGTGTGAGTATAAGAGTTATGTGTATATGAGTATAGAGTTTAGTATAGCATGAGTATGCACGCAGTGTAAATATAGTGTAAGTTAATAGTGTGATAGTGCAGTCGATGCATAGAGATATAGAGATATGATATAATATAATTAAAGAATCACTCAGATAGCTTTATTATAAAGGAAGAATCACTCAGAAACTTAAGAAACTACAAAGATGAATAGACAGGTCTTTTATACCTGAGGATGTTCTATGAACTCATGGAATGAATTTCTCTTTTAAATATAAGTGATAGTTGACTTAATGACAACAATATAAGAACAATACTAAGTCATTGATAAAAATATCTAAAATATCTATTCCTTATACAACTCTCAATGATCAATGATGTGATCAAGATCTTTACTTCCTATCAGTCTCACCACCAACTAGACTTAATATTTTTGAAAGTAACTACAATCGGACTATCAACAAGAATAGTGTGATTTATCAATTATTATTTAAGTCTATCTAATTAATTATATGCGGAGTGGTATTTAAGATAATAATAATAATAATAACAGAATAATATTTAAATTTTGTGGCGCAGAACAGCTATGATAGTAACACCGAGTTAGTGTGAATCACTCAATAACAAATTTTGACCAATTTGATCAGTTAAATTGGTCAAATTATATATACAAAACTATTTATTAAAATACCAGACTATTTGGCAAATTTGACTGGACCAAATTCGATGAAACATTTTTTATTTAAATTCTATGGATTCATAGAATTCAAATAAAAAAATTTTCATCAAATTTGGTTTGGTAATTGTAGAGATATCTTTGCTTATTTTTTTAAAAAAAATTGGCATAACTTCTATTTTGATAACTGTTTTGATTTTTCCCAATTTTGAGCGAAGATATTTTTACAAACATCAGACCAGATTCGATGATTTTTTTTTATTTAAATTCTATGGACTTATAGAATTCAAATAAAAAAAATTTCATCAAATTTAGTCTGGTGGTTGTGGAGATATCTTTGCTTAAAAAATTGGCACAATTTCAGATTTTTTATTAACTTTGAGTGAAGATATCTCTACAACCACCAGACCAAATCTGATAGAATCTTTTTTATTTAAATTCTATGGATTCATAGAATTTAATTAAAAGAAATTTCATTGAATTTGATTAGTTGGTTGCCAAAATATTTTGTAAAGTACATATATACATACGATATACTAGAATTTATTTGTATATGTGATATAATCATGATCTGAGGTGACAATTACGTGATATGTAGTGATCTATATCACGTGCCCCAGAAAATCTGTACTGCATGCTGTTTTTGTTATCTTGTGCATGTTGAATCCATGCATGAATTTGAGAATTATCATCTGGGTCTAGAGTTTGAAGGTCACAGTAGGAT